TCCCCAGCCAGCCATGCTGGCTGGGGAATTCTGGGAATTGAAGTCCACACATCTTAAAGTTACCAAGGTTGGGAAGCACGGACTTTAAGCTGAGATCTGTGGAGGAGGAGGAGAACATGTTAACAAAACCCACCGCTCTCAGCTTCTATATGTTCTTTTTAACAGCACATACATCTCGTAAACAATATTCTGACTTGTAACTGAAAGCTTTTCACTCGTTCTTTATAGGGGCAGGTTGTGTTTCTCATCTTCTCATTTATACGGGATTTTTTTTTCTCCCACTTTTCCCCTGCCATAACAGCAGTATATTGTGGCATTTATGCTCAGGACCAGCAAATCTGTTTATGATGCATCCTGCTGAGGAACTTAATCAAATGGCATTAAAAGGCCCTGTTCTTCCCACACAAGAGGAGCTTATCAGATAAACTGTGAAACTGAAGGGTTTCTAGGGAACACTTGATAATAAGGCAGGTAAGAGCTCTGCAGGCTTAAATCATGGTCTTGTATCAGTCAGGCACTTTTATCCCAGGCTAATCTTGCAGCTAGTTAGCCACTGAATTTGGATATCATATGAAAGGGTAATAAAGTTGTTCTGTGGCTGATAATATTTTATTTCAAGGCAGAGCTGCTAATGAGATTTTCTGCCTCATGTGCCAAGCAAACCTGGTTCACCCTTTTTGCTAAGCCATACTTTATTAAATAAGTCACAATTGATTGGGGTAACAGCATTGTAAGCCAGGAAGCAAAATTTGCCAGATAATTGTTGGGGTTTAAACAACCCACTACTCTGAGACCATATATTGTGGTTTAATGGGATATAGGAACAACCAAAGTGTCTGTTAACAACTTCTGGTTCAAAGCATCCAGAACTAATGCCCATCTCATTTTGCTTTGGAAAAACAATTTCAGAAGAATCAAATTGATTATTTGGTAAAAAAAAAAAAAAAAGACAAATAGAATTCAGTAGCACAGGGAACCAAAATATTGTCCTTTGCTTGTGGCTTGATGTGTTGTGTGAACTAAGTGTGATTAATAAGCCACATATCATGTTTTAGCATGTTGTGTGAGTTCAGGCAATTGTGGTTTATTCAGTAAACCATGGTAGAGCAAACTACAGCTTGATAAGACATTGAACACAGCTATAGTCTTGTAATGACTTAAGGTTTCAAGAGTAAGTTTCTATGCCATGATGGCTCAGTATGTTACACAGACTCAATCAGTGTGGTGAGTTTGTATTTGAGCGTATTAACTGAGTTGGCAATTTGCTTATTTCACTGACCTATGCTTCAGTTAACTCTGAATTAGCATGCTGTATGAATACAGGCTGTAGAGTCCTTGGGGTTCTCTGAGCTGGGTTGTTTTCTTGCCAGCGTTTCATTACCCGGCTAGCTGGGTAATGAAACGTCGGCAAGAAAACCACCAAGCTCAGAGAACCTCCAAGGACTCTACAGTACAACCCTGAGCTACAGATATTCTCTTTTACTGGATACAGGCTAACCGTTATGGTATACTATTTATTTGTGCTCCAGAGATGTATAACAAAGTTGACCCGTTAGACTAAAATGGCTACTCCTCTTGGAATTGTTTTCAAGGATCTCGTCCAGTTCTTCTGTGAGGTGCTTTGTGACTTCTGCAGCTTTCAGAGAGTAAATGCCACTATCCTTGGGTTATGCTCTCATCGGCCGTTGTCAGGTCTTTTCCTGTCTGCTCAATCCTTGGCCATGAGAAGATATCTTGAAGCAAGATGCCTTGATTTTTGACCTTCCTAATGTGATATTTTGAACAGGGGGGCTTCTTTTATGTTTGAAGGTGGGATGGCAGTTATCACATCCATCCATGTTTTATCTGTAGATGCTAAACTTGCCATTCTAACATTGCAGGCTCTTAATTCCCAGGAAAGGTATGCACAGACTGTTCCTAGCTTCCTCTCTTGTTCTCTTCAGCTTTGCATCTAATCCATTCTTCCAGATGGTCAGTCCTGGTTTATATAGCTTGTTTCCTCTGGCATGTGACATGGGTATGACTAATCTTCTCTGTATCTTACTAAAAAGCACTGTGTGACAGTCTTGATTAACCAAAGCCAGTATCTTTGACCAAAGCAACAATTAATATCTATGGGCCCATCTGGGGAAATTAAATTTCCTTCCATTTCTTTTCCTTACTAGTTCTTAACTCTTTTTCTGTGCTTTGGGTTATGTTTTATCCTGAAAGGAAACAGCACGACTGGGTATGTATCTTTGTAAATGTGCTATGCCATGCCATTTAGCCATAATGTGGTTGATTTGTGGTAACCCTGCCATTATAGCCTTATCAAGCCATCGCTAAAAAGTTATGGTTTATTACAGTGTATGAACCCATCATAATATCTAGAGTGAGTGGTAAGAAACTTGGGCTTTGCAGAATGTGCTCACTACAACACCCAGCAACCTCAGTCATCATGACTGATGGATGGGGGATGTTGGAAGTTGTGGCTCAGTGACATTTGGAAGGCCACCAGTTTCTTGTATCCCTGATTTATGGAGGAAGAGAAACGGGTATTCTTTTTTCAAGCCTGAAGATGAACAATCTTCCCAACCTTAGACAAGGGGCTTCTGCTTGGGAGACAATCAGTAGGCAGTGCACTCCCTGTTTTGAGACTCATTCTTTCTTTAGGAAAAGAAACAAGATGCATCTCTTTCCCCAAGCTTTTGATCACTGAGTTCAGCATTAGTTTTGCTTCTCTGTTTTAGCTACTATTAGCTGCAACATTTGTTTTGCTTGTTTTTTTAGCTACTATTAGCTGCTTTGAGTATTCAAGCTGAGTAGACCAGGAGGCTAAATGTTGAATAAAATAATAAATCCAGCCCTTCATTGGGTGTCATTCCATGTTATACATGACAACAACCCATTCTGCTGAAATAAGAAACACAGATATAAGGGGACGCCATTTAATTATAATGAGTTTTGCTTTAATACAAAAACGAAACAGTGCTTAAATGCAGCATGTTTTACAATTACCTTCCCATTTATGTGACATTTTAGCTTAATCGTTTGCAAATTAAACTGGAAGGGTAATCGCCTTGCACAGATAAACATAGTAATAAGCCAGAGCATAAACAAAATAAAACCAGAAGTGCAACTGGTACTTATCCCTATCACGACATATTCCTGATATTCATCATTGTGTTTCTCATTAGTAACAAAACTGCATGAGTCAGGACTCAAGAGAAGATCAGCTCCCCTAGGCAAAAGTCAGATTCTCCTGACAGCCCCATTTCCTTTTTAGCAAATTATACGTGTCAAGATAAAAAACAGCGGAGTAGCAAACTCACAATTTAGCTGTTACACTTCGACGTCACCATCTCTGTCTCCTTCGTCAAACA